AAAAAAAAAAAGTGTCCCTTCTTGCAAATCATAATTTTTTAAGAAAATTAATTTTAGAGAAATGATAAGTCTTCCCATCTCAATTACTGACTCTTTCTACGAATACAACGTGGTTGGATCACGTTGGAACTCTTAAAAAAATCCTGTAAACATCTCTTTCTCTTCAACTTATTTCCAACCACGTTGTATTCGGAGGAGGAGTCGACAATTGAAGTCGGAAAACCTATCATTACTCTTAATTTTATTATATTGGTAGTGAATAAATTATTAAATTTATTTTTAATGAGTCCACGATGATGTGATGATTTTACTTTTTTACAGTATCAATGCAAGAAGGATGAATTAGTAATTTTATTAAAAATAGTACATTGAGACACTTATTTTGGAACCAAAAAAAAAATAAACAGGTGAACACTTATTTTAGGACGGACATAGTATAAAGAGTTTGCAATTAAAATTTTTTTATAATGCATTTTTTATTTATATACTATATATTTTTTAATAGATATATAATATTTATTTAACTGTTAAATAGGGATGGCAACTAGTTGGATTTGGGACGAAGTTGTCTAAACCCTACTTTGCTTTGTTGAGAAATCAGTTATACTAATTCCGCCCCTCTTCAGTACAAACATAGTACCACAAACATAGTATCAACTCGGCCGTACTCCTCGTCTAATAAATTAGACTATGGTAAATAAATGGAGGTGAATGACTTATTAATAAGATCAGAAGTGAAATTTGGAACAGAAAATAAAAATTAATATCTCATCAAGAGACACAAAAAATATAAAGCAATGGACTATGAACAAATAAACACTTCTAACATGAAAATGAAGAACAAATTAAAACATATATATGGATATATATTTGGGTTCGGGCGGGCGGGTTAAAAACTAAATATGGCCTCGCCCCGAACCCGATATGGATTTTAATCTTTATTATCATATCCCCATACTCTATTTAGGGGTTACCAAATCCAGCTCCGCTGCCAAAACAGAGTGGGGGTGGAGTGAAGAAAATGGCCACCTTCACAATTAAACACCCCGAATTTTATTTTTTTCCTAATTCTATTTATTCTTTCGTTCTCTCAGGCTTCATCCCTAACACAAACTTATCCCATTTCTAAAATTAAGAAAAACTAAAAACAAAAATAATATACTATTTATTCGTTCTCCTACACTTCATCTCTAACACAAACTCTTCATATGTCTAAAATTAAGAAGAAAAAAAATTATAATTCTTATTTTTTTGGTAAGTAAATCAGTGCAATAAAATACATATTTACAGAAAGTTTGGATCTCGCTCTGATACCAATTATAATGGGTACAAGGAGCTTATCCTTCTAACCCAAAAATTTTAGTTATTAGGTATAATACAGCATACGGGCCACCCATTTATACTTATTTTGCTTTTCATTTTTTATTTATATACTATATATTTTTAATAAATATATAATATTTATTTAACTCTTAAATTGGGATGGCAACGAGTTGGATTTGGGACGAAGTTGTCCAAATCCTACTTCACTTTGTTGAGAAATCATATATACTTATTCTGCTCCTATTCTGGGGATGAGTTTTTAATTCGTATACAATCCTCGCCTCTTCAGGATAGACATAGTACGATTCCGTCCAACTCCTCCGTTTAATAAATTGGACTATGGTAAATAAATGGAGTGAACGACTCATTAATAAAATTAGAAGTAAAATTTGGAGAAGAAAATAAAAATTAATATCTCATTAAGAGACGCAAAAATATAAAGCAATGAACAAATAAACATGAAAATAAAAAACAAATTAAAAATTAAAACATATATATGGATATATAATTGGGTTTGGGCAGACAGGTTAAAAACTAAATATGTTCTCGTCCTGAACCCGGTATGGGTTTTAATCTTTATTACCATATCCCATACTCCATTTAGGGGTTACTAGCTAAATCCATCTCAGTGAGGAATCAACATGAATTTTAATCTTTATTATTATAACCTCATACTCCATTAAGAGAATTACCAAATCCATCGAGCGGGGCGGGGAATAAAAAAATTGTCACCTCAACTCTTAAACAGCCGGTACTTTTTTTCCCTAATTCTATTTATTCTTTCGTTGTCTCAAGCTTCATCCCTAATACAAACTTTTTCGATTTCTAAAATTAAGAAAAATTAAAAACAACAAATTATATAGTACTATTTTCTAATTCTATTTATTCGTTCACCTACTCTTCATCTCTAACACAAACGCTTCGTATTTCTAAAATTAAGAAGAAAAAAAAATTATAATTCTTATTTTTTTGGTAAGTAAATATATTTATAGAAAATTTGGATCTAACTCTGATGCTAATTATAATGGGTATAGGAAATATATTCTTCTAATTTAAAAGTTTAAGCTACTAGGTATAATGCAACATACGGGCAATCCATTTATACTTATTTCGTTTCATTTGGATATGATATGAAACACTTCTAATACCAATAATAAAAAGGGTCGAGTGTAGGGATGGCAACGGGGGCAGGTTTGGGTGGGTGTACCCTCCCCCGTTCTCGCAACCGTTTAAAAACTCTGCCTCCGTCCCTCCCCCCCAAAACCGCCAAAACGGGAGAACTTTCCACCCCACCCCCGCAACCATTTAACATTTTTACCCCGTGGGTATCCGCCCCGCCTCGTTTAAGATCATAATTTAATTATTGTTGAAATGAATTTGTTTTTTTTTTTTTTTTTTTCTCCTCACCTTCAATTCTTCACCATTGCAACTTTTCTTTTAATAAAATTCATTTTTTACTTTAATATTGTTATATGGGGTAATTAATATATAGTGAAAAATATATATATTAATAAAATAAGGGTACTTAAGTAATTTCCCTATCTAAACGGAGCGAGGCGGTGCGGGGCGACCTCCCCCCGCCCCCGCACCAAACCTGCCCAGGTTTTTATTGCATCAAACCATCCCCACTCAAATAAGCAAAACGGTCCCCCAAAACCGCCAAAAACGGGGCGAGGTGGGGCAGGTAACCGCGGGAGCAGGTCAAATTGTCATCCCTAGTCGAGTGTAGAAAACACCCTTAAAGTATGCTTAAAGTGCATATCACACCCTATACATGCAAAAAAAAACACCCCTAAAGTTTCAATTTGGTGCAAATAGGTCCCTTTGACAAATTTAAACCCTAAATTGACTAAATTACCCTTACTGAACCATTTTATAAAATATATAAAAATAAATAATTTTGTAAAATGACCGAAAAAGACACTATTGGAGGATGCCCCTCTCGTGCAAAAAAACACCCCTAAAGTTTTATTCTGGTGCAAATAGGTCCATCTAATAAATTTAAATCTTAAGTTAACTAAATTACACTTATTAAACCATTTTATAAAATATATAAAAATAAATAATTTTATAAAATGACCGAAAATGACACTATTGGAGGGACAAGTAAAGATAAAAATATAAAATAAAAATAAAAGTATAAAAGAAAAGTAAAGATAAAAATAAAAAAACAAAAAACAAAAATAGAGTGCAAACTAAATAAAACAAATTTTTTCCAAACTCCGAAAATTAGTGCACACTGATATTGAGATTTTTATTTTATTATATTTTATTATTATTTTTTTTAGCTGTGTTGGTACGAAAAAATAAAATAAAGAAAAAAAATTTAGTAGAAAATAGTAAACTGAAATTTCAAAAAATTCAAATCCTTGTTTTACAAATTCTCAAAGTTTTTTTTTAAAAAATGTTTAGAGATATATATAGAGAAAAAAGTTTTGAGATCCCCTTGGGCATTTTCGGAAGAGTAAAAGGGTAACACGGGTATTCAGTACTAATTTATGTCAGGGGGTTATTTTTGCATAATGTGAAAAGATTATGGATGTTTTTTTGTATACTTTTTCAAATAGGGATAAAAGTGTTACGCGGAGTATATTTTAGGGGTGTTTTTTGCACTTGTCCCTTATAAAAACAATCAGTACAAAATTTGTAGATTTCACCGGCAACTTTTTACTGCCGAAAAATCACATAAAACCGCCGGAAAGGCATTGCTCGTGTAAATGAAAATTATGATAGAAAGTAAAACTGAAAGAAAGTGGAGCAAAAGAAAGAAAAATCACATAGATACGTATCTGAGTTTGCTTGTGTTTGTAAAATATTTCTTAGAATGTGTTTAGTTAGATGGAAACTATGATAGAAAGTAAAAGCGAAAGAAAGTGAAGCGGAAGAAAAAAAAAAAAATTTCTAGCATACATTTGGTTAACAATAATTTTTTTTTAAAAAAAAATTATAAAAAAATATTATTTTGTCAGAAGGGACTCTACTCGTTAAAAATGCCCTTGTGTTTATTGAGAGCTAAAAGAACAATTGATTTTGTGCAATCAGTGATGAAAAAAATAAAATAGACATAGATAGAGAGTAGATATCAATATATTTTTTTATATTTATTTGTGCGCCTTCTAATCTGATTATTGGACTAATTTATAAAGAAAAATGATTGGTCTTCTGATGTTAATTATAGACTCTTCCTCCAAATACAACGGGGTTGGATTTCATTGGAACTTTTAAAAAAATTCCCGTAAACATCTCTTTCTCTTCGACTCATAAAATGTATAGTGAAGGCATATACTAGAGTGCCAAGCAACGTAATTTTGGTGAGCTGTACTAAGAAAACAACAATTATTTAGAAAACTTACAAAAGAAGTGATCGATGTAAATATTTCATATGATTAAATAAAATAAGAAAATATATTCAAGAAAATATTCAACGATGAATGTTATTTGTGGATGAGAATCAGAGGGGGTATTATGAGGGCATACAATGTCAGATTCTAAACTAGTCTCAAACAAAATTTTGCATTTGTACCGGGAATCAAAATCATCAAAATAGATGAAGGTGGCATTGAATAAAAGCAATTTTGGATACTGCCTCATTATAAACAATAGAGATACATAAATATTTAAATTTTACGTTTCTAACACCAATGGTATGTAAATTGATCAACAAAAACACTGGCAAACTACATAGGAATATAGTAACCCTTGGGTGAAACAAGGGTCTCCAAACAAGTTACTGTTTCATTCCAAAAGTGGGGAGTAGTGTCAAACTCCAAGTGCCTGTGTGTTCTCTCTTTTAGGTTGCACATAACAAACTTGTCTCCGTCAAGTGCAAATAAATTTTCGTCATTGTTTGAGAAATCCAAAGGCTTCATGGAACAACATGGGATGTCAAACTTAAATTTAGTCCACGACTCTCTCACGTTGTATTCCTTCATCACCCAAAAAGTGATGCCACGCCAGTTAGTTTTTGATACGAAATAAAGACACCCTCCCACAACTCCGATCAAACCAGGATTAATTAATGATGTTTCTAATATATTATTAACATCAGGTAATGGAACATCCCCATATTTTTCATCAGCTAAACTGAAAGAAACCATTTTTTTCCTATCGTAATTGAACCAGTGGAGATTTCCATTCAGAAACACCCCTGAATGGGAGAATTTAATCCAGTAAGGAAATTCTTGAATCTTTCTCCAGGAATTTGACTTTAGAGAATATAAACTGGTGATAATTTCACCACCATCATTAGGAGAAGGGGGCGAGATTTGAACAACTTTGTAATCGTCAAGGGATGCATCATAACCAAGTCCCCGGGATGCATAATGAGTTTTGCTAAATGGTGAGTATGGCAATCTAATCACTTCTTTGGTTGACGGATTCACCAGGTATATACCATGACATGTATCACATAACACCAAGCCACGACATGAGCTGGAGATCCGGACAGTCTCCTGAGGATCCGAGATGTGAATTCCTCCCACTTCTCCATCATCCCACGCAGACGCAGCATCAACCATGTCGCCGCAAGACAACACGAAGAGACTCCTCATTGGATCCAGAGAGTGGAACGAAGATGTGAAGACGAGTTTGAAGTTGGTGGATCTAGTGAGGTGAAGCTTGACAAATTGAGGATCTGCGAACATGGTGCGCCAAGGCTTGGATACACACTTAAACCTTACAATACACTCCACGGACAGCCTTGACAATATATCCATCATCAGATCGTACGGAAGGATTGGTAATAAATCGTCTCTCTTCTTCGTAGCCATATTTCTCAACTAGCCAGCCACCACTTTAAAGAGGATTTTACAAACGCAGTTTCTTTTTAATAATTTTTGGTAGGCGATATATATATATATCTCCTGATTTATGGTAACAATGTTATCCTATTTCTTTTCCAACTTCCTTATATCATTAGGATTACGCGTCCCTCTCCTTGTTTAACATGAATCAGTGATTATTTATTCTTAAGTATAGTCCTTTATTTATTTATTATTATTATTACTTTTTAACTGTGAATGACACTAATAAATAAATAACTAATTTAGGCTATAATTTAAACATAGTTAGCCCATAATCTTTTCTTTTTGCAATTAACGTGTTTATCGGGTGAATGCATGGATAAATTACTAATATTATTAAAAATAGTACACATTTCGAATGAGACACTCATTTTTGAACTAATAAAAAAATAGACACTTATTTTGTAACGAAGCAAGAATAAAGAGTTTGCAATTAATTTTTTTAAGGTAAAATACAAAAACACCAATGAACTATTGGGGTTTTACAACTTTTCCCATTTCTAAAATTAAGAAAAATTAAAAACAAAAATAATATAGTACTATTTTCTAATTCTATTTATTCCTTCTCCTACACTTCGTCTCTAACACAAACTCTTCATATTTCTAAAATTAATACTTATTTTGCTTCTTATTTGGATATGATATAAAACACTTCCAACACCACTAAAAAAACAATCACTATAATATTTGTAGATTTCACCTGCCGAAAAATCACAAAAAAACACTGGAAAAGGCATTGCCGACGAGAAAAAAGTACTGAGAATAAAGTACTGAGAATGCCTCCGCCAAGAGCTTTCTCGGCACTTTTCTGAAACCGCTGGTAAAAATACCCGCAGTAAATTAAAACCGACTGTAATTTCACTTTCGCTGGCAACATAGAACTGCAAGTTATTATTCTTATTATTTTTTTATTTTTGTGTGTAAAAAAACCAACACTCTCTCTCTATTTCACAAACTTCAAAATTATCAATAGACACTTAACCGACATAAGCTTCATAACATTCAGAGTAAATATACATCCAACTGTGTCAAATATTCACAGAGTTCAACAAAAAATAATTAATTTCCTTTAATCATAACTTGTCCAACAACACCATCATCTAATACATCATCCAAAGCATGGACCAGTTCTCTATTTTCTTCCTCCCACTTTCGAAGCTTCTCGTTAGAATCAAAACAAAGCTTGATGATGGCCTACTTTGCTTCAGAATACAAGATGAGATCTTCACACAATTGCTTTGAAGCAGAGATTCCACTTTTATTTGGTATTCTGCCATTCTTTCTTTGCCGTGCAATCAGATTCAACTAACACCTGTGGCAAGTAAAGCTAAATAATTGGCACACTACAAAGAAAATAAAAGTATGCAACACTTGGTCCAAATTGTCCTTAAATGAATTCTATGTTCATCATGTCAGCTCAACATATTTCACATCAACATTTATCTAACAGGGCGGTAGTTTATACAAGGAGAAAACAAGTAAAGCAAGAACTGTTTACCAAGGCAAAGGGAATCCATTGATTGGGAATAAAATCAATGCAACCTGAGAAAGGAGTTCTAGCCTAATATTCCATTTAATTGAAAAGCAAAATTGACTTAAGAATTATCCAAACAAGTTTTAGCAATAAGCCTTGAGTAAGGTCTAAGCTATCCTAAGCCACTAAAGAGAGGGAACATCTGTTAAGAGGGCCTTGTATAAAAATACAAGGGTGTATCAGATAGCAGACAACAAAGACAAGCTGTTGACAGTCAATTTTAAACCTTCTGCACCAGCTGGGATTAGAAAACATCCTCCAATCTTCGCTAGAGGCAATGTTTCCAATGATGGGAAAATTATCTCAATTCATTGTAGTTTCAGTAGTTTTTATGTCTTGAATTTATGTTGCACAATGTTGATCAGATCACTTTGCATATATATATATATATATATATATGCCATTGAACACAAAGTTAATTGAAGAAAAGCCTATCAACATATATATGCCATTGAACACAAAATTAATTGAAGAAAAAGCCTATCAACATATATATGCCATGGAACACAATCAAATGAAGAACCAGTCCTCTTTTATTTCACCTTATAGCTTACTGTTTCGTTAGGCACGTAATAGGACCACAATGTACCAAAACTTTCTAGACTAACAAAGTTCATACCAACCACATTTTTTATAAGTCTGAAAAGAAAAAAGAGCTTAATTGAAAGGCAGATCATAGAAAGCAAGGCAACTATATGACCATCTTCCTACTTCCCATGTAATATATACAACGGGATAATAAAGTTTTCCTTGCATGCATCACAGGTAATATATTATAGATTACTGAAATAGTAGCTCCAAAACAAATTATTTTACATATCCATATATCTTCCTACTTCCCATGTAATATAGTAGACATATCACTAATGGAAACATATACTAATAAAAGAAAAACCTTCATTGACTGCAACCAGAAGAACTGACCGGCATCCATCCAATTCATTCCTTGCCATCAGCAGCACAAAGTGATCCAAGTTGGACAGGGGCTTGGGTTCCCACCACCTTGGAAGAGCCATAAACTGACAAATCCACGCCCTGAGCTTTCTCCTTTTCAATCTGGTCTTTGATTCAGAAGTAAGTAATTCTCAGCCATCCTACAAAAGTAGGAAGTAGTAAATTTAAATTTTCCATAACTATTAACTCTGGAGATTTGCGTAACTTCTTCAACAAACAAATTTGACTCAGAATAGTAACTGAAATTACGTCCAAATTAATATAGATTTGAAGCTTTCAAACAAGCAACTATGGAAGAAACATACTGTACTTATTGTAAATGCAACAATAAGATCATGAACAAAAGCAATTAATGCAGATAAAATTCAGACTCTTACCCATCATCTAGTTAGCTACAGTACTACTAATGAAAAATTTTGCCCAATGTGAAACCGCCTCCAGTCTTGAACACTCTACTTGTCAAAAAAAAAAAATCTCCAGTCTTGAACACAACATTGCCTAGAAAGAAATTTGAGCACTAAGCTCTAACAATGACATATTAGTTTAAATTGGTCAGCCCCAACAATTTATGATCTATCCAACCATACAATGAACTAGGGAGGAATTGCTAATGAAGCAAAGAAGTGAGACTTATATTAATTCCATAAAGTACTTTAAAATGGTTTATTATCCAATGCTAGAACACAGATTGAAAATATTTGAATAACATAATAGAGGCATTTTTTAATTTTTCAACTAGCACAGTCTGATCTACAGTAAAAATCCATACATAATGATGATAAAATTGAGCAATAAATCACCTCCGAAACATTTGTATTCATGGTACTAATTCAAACAAAATAATCAAAGATGGCACTCATAATGTGATTTGGGGAACTCAGATAAGTACCAAAAATACTTACAACAGGAAGCATCCTGAGATGGAAGTTTACAGAACTTCAGAAATTTTGAAGCATGAAAGATAGGAAACTCACAAATCTATCAAGATTAGCATTTGACCTTCGAACAAAAAAGTGATGGCAAAGAACCATGGCAGAGCCTATAGGGGTTTGCAGCCTGCAAGTAAGGGGAAAAAAAAAGGATTCACAAGGCTAATCAGGTGTTTTGGGTTGTTGAAAATGTCTCCTGCTATCTTTCCATTATTTAAGCCTTTAAAAATTTAAAATTTCTGATATTTCAGAATAAACAAGCATTATAGTCAGAATGAAACTTAAAAAATGAAGCAAATTCATAGGGAGAGATTTTTTCCATAGCCTTCAGTAAAGAAACCCAATTCAACAAATTCTTAACCTAGTTATACGCAATTCAAACAATTTCACATGCATATACATATATGCATGTGTGTGTATATATAGAGAGAGAAGACGACCTGAACAACCCCAGCAAAGGACTAGCTCCAACCATTAGCGAGTGAGAGGGGAACGATGTCCACTGACATAACAACTTTGACTATCTCCAAAGTGATGAACTGATGAACTCATCGAATATTGGCCGTGCAATTCGTCTTCATCCCCAAATGAACCGCTCGTGATGGACTGAGCTTCCTCCGAAGAAGCCCTAACTTCAGTCGATCAAAGAGATCGAACTTTATGCTCATCGTTTGCAAATCGAATTCTCAAAGTACTAGAACTTGTTGAACAACCATGGATTCGTGATGCTTGTTCAGATTGTGAAGGGTTTAGGGTTTTGAAAGCTCGAATGTAGATGGTAACAAATCGGTTGGTCAGCAGAGGTGAGTAATTCATGATGTGAGAAATCGATTGGTGATGATATGAAATTCAATTGCAAGGGATTGAGGAATGCTCTTTTCTAGGGTTGAGATTTTTCTTCGAAGACCTGATTGCCAAGAGAATATTCTGCGACAATTATTTATAATCAAAGAGAAGAGAAGAGAAGAGACGAGACTAGAGAGATGGTACTTAAATACATATTTATTACCTCTGCCCGGTTATTTCTGGCGGTTTTGCAAAAACTGCCGGTTTTGTCTACACTGGCAGTTTTTAAAAACTGCCGGCAATAAAGGCAAATTTCCGGCACTTTTAGAACCCCCAATAAAAAACTGCCGGTGTACGCTATAAATCTTGCAGTGAATAGAGACCTTAAGGCATGTTTGATAGCTATATTTGTTTTCTTATTATGCATAATATTTTTATTGTCTATTTTCTTAACTTAATCTCTCAAGAGGTTTGAGTCTCATCGATAATAAATTTGACTCCTTTAATAGAAATATTGAAAATGTGACGAAATGGAGGAGAAGAACTTTGATGCTATGTTCGGTTGCATGGAATCCATGCACCAGTTTCATACAACAAAACATAATTGAATCTAAAGTTGAGAATTTTGAAATATTATTGATGAATGAATATATATCTATATCCCTTATAAAAGTGAATTTAATTTCCAATATTTATATACATTTTAAAAACAATAGTTAGTTTATATGATACCAATAGTTTTAAAGGAGACCATAACAATGCTAATTTCCAAAAGACATAAGCCGTTAAGATGCATGTTGTCAAGGGTCATCAGTTGTCTATAAATACCTAGGAGTCCTGTACATTAAAATCTCATAAAATAAAAAATTTCTCCTTGCAAAAATGTTATTCTATTTCGAAGCCTAGAGAATTCTTTTTCTAATTGCATTAACGTCTTTATTTAATATTTAGTTTTTTTATGTGGATAGAAGTTGTTGTGAGTCATCAGATTTGGGGTGTTGCCAACTCTTCTTTTTAGACAATTCTCACACATTCTCTCTAATTTAACGCTAGTGACTCTTTTTTTTTTTTTTCCCATCATCTCTGCCTGATTCTTCTCTCTTTTCTTTGCTCTTATGAGTACATTGTTACACTACACACACCCAAATATACTAATTTGAATGGCTTTTCTTTCGAAAGGTTGCTAATTTGAATGTTATGCGTATACATGCGTACGCATATATCAGTATAAGCTGTTAAGATGCCTGTTGTAGTCAAGAGTGGTCAGTCGTCTATATATACTCCTATAGGTTAAGATATCGGGAATGCAAATTAATTTTACGGATAGCAAGACAAAACATCCTCATAAATATTGAAGAGACAAGATGAGTGTAGCTCATAGCATCAAGGGTTCAACTTAATTAACTTCTCCTAAAGAAAATTTCAGGCCTCTCAATAGCAACATGAGACATCAACCAAAGTGCTTAATTCAAATGAATCCAAAGAAGTTAAGAAATTCAAAATAAAAGTAATAATTTCTTATGGCTCCAAAAGAAGAAAGAAAAAGAAGAATTTCAGAAGCAGATGATGACACACACGAATGCTCAACCTTAGAAAATACAAACACGAATGCTCAACAAGGAACAAAACAACTGTAATTTAAAGGTTAAGGTGCCAATTAATGGAAATTTTAGTATTTGGATTAAAAATACAATTTATAGAAAAATATTTGAACTTCCACAATATGTCATTGACAAGATAGTTGATGCCCTAGTCAATGGAACATGCAAATCAGTGTAGAAAATTTTCTTATACGTCATTTTCCTATGGGATAACAAGTTTGTTATCAAATTCTTAGTAACACCAAATTCACCAATCAAATGTCTAAATGAACCAAAGGTTTCCAAACTTAGAAACTGCATGATAAGAGTATGTAATTATCCTTTGATGATCATAGTCGGGCGTAATACTCTCCGTCCATTTGTAACAAGGGGTATCTCTAATCCTCCAAGAACCAGAATTAGCCCATCACCGTCTGCTATTGTAAAGACCTCACACCAAAACTCCTCATCCTCCTCATCATCATAATCATGTGAAAACAAACCGAAAACTTTATATTTGTTCCTATCCAGAATGAATCCCAAACCAATTCCCCCAAATTTGACCAACTTTCAGGCAATTTGATAAACTCATGGGTGCTTGGGTTACATACATACACATGAACAAAAGGGACCAAGCATATCAGACCGAAACAAGAAATCCAAGAACTAATATGATCATCAAAGAGCTTAGTAAAGTTGTCACATAATGTTCCATTGTTCAAGTCGACAAATGTTATCCGAACAGTTGATTAAGTCTTGACATTTTCGGAGAGTTCAAAATTAAGATTAGTGCACAGCAATAGAGGGGTTGTATTAGATAAACGGGTGTGCAAATTCAAGAGCAGTTGATCAGAAGATATCAAAAAGAGCCATTCATTAGAAATTGACCTGAACTTGCAGAGGTCCTTTACTGGGAGTCTGATTAGTATGTGGATCAGTATCTCGCGAGGTAAATCAGTACCTTCTGTGACATCGTCTTTGTTGTTGATGTTCAGGGCCAATCTTTCGGGAGGTTTATGTAAACGCTCTTCAGCATCTTCCATTTCCAGACAACACCCTAGATAGATATCTCAAAACCCCATTCACCGTTGAGAAGGGGAAAGAAGACAGTGGGTGATAAAAGAAGAAAATAAGGGGTTAGGATTTGAATATTTTTATAAATATACCATTTTTTTTTCTTGTTAAGTACAGATCATGGCTAGTACTAAGGTGGTTGGTTTTAATTTTAGGCTGAAATGTTTATTAACAACAATCAAATCAATTTGTTGTAACGAGTTTTAGATATATATTTTTTATTTTTTTTATTCTTATTCTTATTTTTTACTCTCATTTTAAAGTAAGTATTCGTCTTTTTATTTTTATTCATCGTATTTAATAAGTTTTCAATTTAAAAAGTAAATGTATTATTTTTGTAATATTAATAATTTATTTTTTTTTCCTTTTCATTCAACCTATATAAATAAATCATCACTAATGATCTACTATGATTAAATTTGATAATTTATTTATTATTAATTAAATAAAAAATAGTAATAATTTTACTCTTAAAAAGTATTCTAAAAAAAATTCACTTATTTATTATTATTTATTTATTATATTTTATTTTATGTATTTATTTATTATTTGGATAAGAGACCAAATTCATGTTAAACTAGGATAAGGACTAACAAAGGAAAAAAATTTTATTCTATCGGAAAGTAAATATTGTATAAATGAAGAAAGAATATACAAGGCCCAAAAGCCCAACCCTAAAAGAAACTGAATACAGCATGTATTCCAAGCAGCCCATCGAGGCCCAAAAGAAGAATAAAGAGAATTGAAGCCTAAAGAACCCTAAACTAATGTTTTCTTTGCCTTCAGTCATATCCGCCGGTGCGAACAACAGGCGAGCACCGACTCCATCTTCAGTCGGTGGTTTGATTGAATAAGGAAAGTAGGAAACATATATATATATATATATAATGGCAGCATAAAGCAGGTTATCTACCCTGCCAAGAAAATTATCGAATACCCCATTCGAAAGCACAAAAAGAAACTCTGCTCGGCTCTAAAACCCTAGTTGAAGGAAAATTTGGGGTATGGCTATGGAGAAAGACGAGTTATCACCGATCCTTCCGTACGATCTCATGACGGACGTACTGTCAAGGCTGCCCGTGAAGTCTATTGTACGGTTCAAGTGTGTATCCAAGTCTTGGCTCGCCTTGTTCGCACATCCCCACTTTGTGAGCCTTCACCTCACTCGATCCCGCAACTCCAAACTCGTGCTTGCATATTCGCTCGACTTTCTTTCAAATTTTCTTCATCGTCCTAATACATTGAACGACCTTTTCGTGCTGTCTTGCGACGGCATTGTTGAAGCAGCAAGTGATTATATTGATGGAGGAGGAGGAGCATTAATTGACATCGTTCCTCCTCACGAGCGGAAGCAGCAGGTCTATATGGCCGGCTCTTGTCGTGGCTTGGTGTTATGTCACACGCGCCGTCGTTGTGCGCTAAGCTTGGTGAACCCATCAACCAGAGAATTCATGAGATTGCCAATCTCGCAGCTTCACAAAACTTCTTTTAGATCGGTTGGACTTGGCTATGATCCATCCGCTGATGACTACAAGGTTGTTCAACTCTCAACCCATCCCTTTCCTCGTAAAACTGATATGAATATGACTTTGTATTCGCTAAAATCGAATTCATGGAGAAGGATTAGAGATTTCCCTTTTCGAGCCGAGTCAATGGATTCAGGGGTGTTTGTGAATGGAAATTTCCACTGGTTCAATCCTGATATGAGTAAAATTGTTTCTTTTCATTTGGCTGAGGAAAAATTCGGGGATGTTCCATTACCTGATGATATTATAGAGGCACCTTTGATTGGAGTTGTCAGAGGGTGTCTTTGTATCCTATCTCGAGCTAAGCTCATCACAGCTTGGGTGATGAATGAATACGGCATTGGAGAGTCTTGGACTAAATTTGAGCTTGACCTTGACGCCCCAATATATGTCACGAACACGAAGCCTTTGAATTTCTCAAATAATGATGAAATTTTATTTGCAATTCCTGATACACAAGAGTTTGTTGTGTGCAATCTAAAAGAGAGAACATCTAGGCATATGGAGTTGATTAACTCTGATCTTGAATGGAGTGAAGCAGAGACATGTTTGGAGAGTATTGTTTCACCCCAGGAGATCATAAAGAAGGCGGAGGCCAACAAATAATGATTTTTGACTATCAATTTGCTTTATCTGTATTTGTCAAAAAGAAAATAAAAAATTTGCTTTATTCTCCCATGTAATTTTGCTGCAGTTGTTGTTATTCAATTTTCATACCATTGCTGTTAGAAATATAAAATTTTAAATTTATGTATGTATATATGCTTATATACATGATGAGGAGATATTTTTTGATTTAAATGCCAGCTTCATCCATTTTCTTGATTTTGATTCATGTACTAATGCAAGAGGAGGCAGCAGCCAGACCACTTGCTTGCTGGAGAAGTCCACTTCCATTAGGTGGTGTGATGCTCCCTTTAATTTGACTCCATGCTCAACTATCAAATTTTGCAATTTTTTTAATGAAATGCTAAGCCAAACAAGAACTTCTGCCCATGGCTGTTAAACAAATATCCCTTAATGCTAATTCTTTTCTTTTTTCCTTCTGGATATGTACCTCAATGCTATTTCATCAATACTAATAACATAATATTATGTTTTAAGAAGATCTGCCATCAGCAGCTACAAGTATCCAAATGTCATTCTACAATTCAAAACTCAAATCAGGTGGAAAAAATCTGAAGTTTGCATCACTGAAAAGAACTATAGAAGCAGCACCCCTTCCACAGAATGGATGGGAACATCATCCACAAGAGCCTTCCTGGTTAGAAAGCTGCAACACCGAATTAAAAAGGTATCAGTATCAGTATTTCTGGGACCAATTGATATGAACCAGAACCGTATCATGATATAAACAGGATTAAAATGCACAGTACTTGTAATATAATTCATTGTAGAAAAAAATGAACCACTAGCTATAGAAATATAGGGGAAGAGTTATGAGCCTACGTGGAAAAGAAAAGTCTAGCAAGTAAAAGTGTGAAACAAAAATCTCTAGAACTACTATGGGGTAACAAGTTTGTTATCAAATTCTTGGCAAATCCAATCAAACGTTAAAACCAACCTAATGTTTCCCAAAATTTAGAAACTGCATGTGTTAAGAGTGGTTATTTCTAAATAGTTTTCCTTGATAGAGCATTTAGCATAAATTTGTTAACAAAAATGGTTCCTGTCATTATTTTAAACTCTAAGGACCTCTGAAAAGAGAAAATCGCAACCCTTGAAATTCTACGACTGGAGAAGCAATTCAATATATGTACAATCAGAGCTAATTAGGACAGTACATAAGAGTGAATGCTGGAATACAAATCAAAAAAGAAATATACTAGTTACCCGGCATTTTCCGTTTAAGCCAATGAAGTACTAATATGTATAACAGCGCATAAGACCAGAGTAATGTTCTATATGTTTACTACCAGTTCATTCCGACTTATTGTGTGAAACAACTGCTAGACTTGTAAACTAAAGTTGCTATAAAACAGTTTATTATCAGATGCTTCGTCTCTGAGAGTCCGCAAGAAGGTTAATTCCTCATATTGCAGAAAGCTCACCTTAATGCTTTTGAGATGTGGTAAAAGGCTAACGAACTAAACGTGTAAAATGAAAACAATGCGCCTATAAGTCAGTTTTAAGGGTAGGTGCCATTTTCACCGAAGGTTCATTATTTTAGCATGCAACTATCATTCCATTCTCCAAGGAAAAGGCTGAGTTTCTCAAATTTTTGTCAGACTGGTACTGTAGCAAATGCATGACACATTGCACATGACAAGTAAACTAGGATTGCCCGGGTGACCAGATTGATAATGTAAGCATTTCAAAATAGCTAAACCATGTGTTAATCTCCTTAAATAACAAACTCATGCACACCAAAGCAATAATGTTCAAATGCAAATTATTCATGGGCAGCAAGAGCAAACATCCTCAAAATAATTGAAGAGATGAGATAAGTGCACCTCATAGTATCAACGGTTCAACTTAATAAACTTCTCCTAAAGAAAATTTCAGGCCTCTCAATAGCAGTATGAGATCTCAACCGCAATGCCATAATTCCAATGAATCTATAGAAGTTAAGAAATTCATAATAAAAGTAATACTTTCATATGGCTCTTTAGAAAAAAAGGAAGAATTTTACAACCGCATGACAAAAAAAACATCTATCGGAACATGACTGCTCAACAAGGAACAAAACAACACGAATTTAAAGGTTAAGTTGAGCATGGATTACAAAATAAAGTCCATATTATAGAAATATAATTGAACTTCCGGAATATGCTATTGACAAGATAGTAAATCAGTGTAGAAAATTTCTTATATGGCATTTTCCTATGGGGTAACAAGTTTGTTATCAATTTCGCAACACCAATCAAATGTTTAAACCAACCTAAGGTTTCCAAAATTTATAAGCTTCATGCGTTAAGAATTGTTATTTCTAAATAGTTTTGCTCAATTGAAAATGTAGCATAAATTTGGCACGAATCGTGTTTCCTGTCAAGTACTTTAAACTCTAAGAACCTCTTACAAGAAAAAACCCACAACCCTCAAAGTTCTAAATCACACTAGGACCAGATCGTGAAGAATCACTTCAATGGATGTTCATTCAGTCATTCATAGAAGATCAGGACAGTACATAAGACACTGAAAACCGGAATACAAATCAAAAATGAAATAGAGTAGTTATCCGCCATCTACTGCTATAAAACTCTACTACTAATATAGTACTTATCCGGGGTTTGGATTACAAAATACGGAAAAAAATTCTAGAAAAACATTTGAACATCCACAATATGATGTTGACAAGATAGTTGAAGCCCTAGCCAATGCAACAACTAAATCAGTGTAGAAAACTTTCTTATATGGCATTTTCCTTTTTCTTCTACATACCTAGCTTGGTGCATGTGGGCTTGGGCAATCAACACTTTTTCAATGTAAGGCCTTTAACCTTCACCATTTGCAAACTGTTCAGCATATTATGAATATTTGTCTGACATGACCAGCGTCAAACTGTGAAGATATAATTTGGTTTTTTCTTTTAATTTATTTATTGAACTAAAAGTTTCCAGCCAAGTCCTGATTTGTAAACAGTACTACACCCTTCCCATTCTTTGATTTATAATTTAGTCATGATCGTGATACATTCATGGCCGGTACCATGCAATGTTATGCTTTTATATGACTAATATTTTATGTTCAAGTTATTATATGTTCAGTTCATGTTGTCTTTTATGCAAAGTTGAATCTTGTGCTGGCAAGTATTCAATTTATACTTTTTAATTTGCTTATGATCTCTGCAATCTTCTTCGCACTAACCTTCCAACAAATACCATACATTATATGCTACACATCACATGTGTGTGTGTGTGCCGGTGTCAGTGGGTGGGAAGATGCCTAGAGTGATTGTTTTCACAATCTAATCTTTTCGGATAGCTAATCAATGGGTCACTCACTTCATACAAGCGACTCATCCACAATAGAAACTAAGAACAATATGTCATTAAGCAGTTGCAAACAAGAAAACAAACTCCGCAAATGATTTTCATCAATGACAAGTACAAACATAGTACAGATAATAGAGGATTATGGATGTTGGCACCAACTCATAGCAACAAGCACTAACCTTAATGAGTGCTGCATGTGTCTTCAGAATGAGATAAAACATCATCCCCAATTATAGAATAGCATTTAATTGAAAAAAATTCAAACAAATTCAAATTCTGTAATTAGTAACATACCATAAAGAGTCCAGAAATATGAAATCCACAAGAATCAAACATGTTAATAGATCAAGCTGATGATATCGAACAGGTGAGTGTATAATCAAGAACAGGTGAGTGTATAATCAAGGTCACCCCAGGTGTTCTTTCGATAGCAACATTGTCAAGCACAATCGTTCAAAGTTAATGATGTCTCTATCTGCTTCCAAGAGCAAATAAGCTAGCAAAGTAAACACGTCGTTTTGTTCCATCTGCATTTGATTCTTCAGCTCTTCTGAAAATCCCATTCTCACAATTATAGTAATACAGATCTCCTTGATTTGACTCATCAAAAGAATAGTAAAACATATCTCCTTGATTTGACTCGATCAATATTTCTCCTCTAACCTCAGCCAAAGGTCTGCAACCCATATTATCAATATACCCATCCACAGTAGAGAAGTTAATGCTGCATTCTTTTACCCGAGTGTGATTACTGTGATCCTTCAACATCCATACATCCATAATTGAAATGAAAAAGTTATCCACTAAACACAAAACCCCTTTCAGCTCAACCAAAGACAACCAATACTCAGTGAAGTCTGAATAATCTAAATCCATATAGCACTGGGGATAGCCAATGAGTCCAAATTCTTCCTTCTCTAAATCCAAAGATAAAACTTTTGTGGGTACAACCTAAATCTGAGACCATCCAATAAATAAAACCATTGACACAAACCGACGTGGTGCCCTTCTCCACGTGTATACAAGGGGTTTTTCTAATCCTCCAAGAATCAGAATTACCCCCACCACCATCTGTTATTGTAAACATCTCACACGAAAGCTTTCTATCATCCCGGTGCTCTGGACGAAAGTCACGAAACAAATGGGCAACTATATATTCGTTCCTAACCGGAATGAATCCGAAACCAATATGTTCTATGGAACGAGAACAAAAAGCTTCGGGCAATTCCAGAAGCTCGTGGGTGCTAGGGTTACATACATACACCTGACTAAAGGCGATTAAACATATCAGACCAAAGCAAGAAATCCAACTACACATATGATCACGAAAGATGGTAGTAAATTGGTCACACAACGATCCGTTGTTCAAGTCAACAGTGGTTATTTTCACCATTGATATACTGTCGTCATTTTCGCTGTCTCTAGAACAATTACAAGAAATGTATAGAGGGGTTATATTAGATAGACGGGTGTGCATATTCAAGAACAGCTGATCAGAAGATATCAAAGCGAGCCATTCTTTAGAAACTGACCTGAACCTGCAGAGGTCCTTTATTGGGAGTCTGGTGAGTATATCGATCAGTATCTCGCCAGGTAAAGCAGTGCCTTTTGTGACCTCGTCTTTGTTGTTGATGTTCAGTACCACTCTTTTGGGAGGTTTATGTAAACCATCTTCAACATCTTCCATTTCTAGGGACATCCTAGATAGATGATGCCTCGGAACCCTTTCACCGTTCAGAAGGGGAAAGAAGAGAGAGGTGATAAAACAAGAATAAAATAACTTTTCACATGAGACAGCCTTTAATAATTAATACTTGTAGTTTATTGAAATTTAGGAAGTAAAAATAAATAAATTAACATTCATATTAGAAAAATTTTGGATAGAAGGGAGTCAAGGGTTAGTTTATTAAGAATAGTATTGTAATTTAAAAGTGTATAATTTAGGATACTATATTAGTTCAAAATGTTCATAATAACACAATTTATTTTTTCTCTTCTTTTTTGACCATATTTACAGGATGAAAATTTATAAAGTAAAAAAAAAAAAAAAGTTGACTCATATTTCTTATTATAATTTCTCTCGTTGTCTCCTACGCATCAAATAAAAGAAATTTGGTACTTTCTTCTTATTTTCCCTCCACCCTTATTCCTTCCTTCCTGCATTAGAGTTTTAAAGGGAAGTAACATCTCATTTTATCGTGTATAAAGATATAAATAATGAAAAAAAGAGAGAGAAAAGTCTACTATGATAATGTTGTTGTTATTAATAATTCAAATATAATGAATGTTATGTTTAAAAGTTAATCAGACCTCATTTCATTTTTTTTTTTATTATTATTATTTTTATCTCGATAAGAAAGCACTCACACATTCCCTCTCACACACTATTTTGCACACACTCGATTGAATCTACTCTATTTTGCACACACTCGATTTAATCCCCTGAGAATGAAGATGTTATATCAATGTATCGGATACCTTTTCAAACCACAATTTTAATTTCCTAAGCCAACTAATTGAATTGGGAGAGTGATTTAGCCTACTTTTTATTCTATATAACATAATTATATTTCAAAAGTTTATAACACCTTTCTCTCACATAACTTCTTGGACTAGTTTTTTTCCTAACTAATTCTATTTTCTATGTGAATTAGATATGTGTTCCTCTCTTCATAGTAACTCCAATGGCATTGCCCAATTTTGGCAATCCGGCCAGCAATTCCACCTCAGTATTTTTCAAGAGTCACATAAGCCTTTTCAAGGGTCACGTCAGCGTTTTACACTCTTCAAAATTTAGCTATCACATGTGCTCCAATTGTGCATTTCGCTCTCCAAAAATATTAATATTTTTAATAATTTTTTAAAAACTTTTCCTTAACGGCAATAGTTTTCATCTTATATAAACAATCATTTTCTCATCTCATCATTACTACATTCATCTTTATTCATTCTAGCAAAATTTCAATTCACATCTCCTTCAATCTCAAAATTCCAATGACTTCTTCATCACGATATTTTCCTTTGTTAGACTCTAATTCTTTATCTTCTATATCATCATCCTTATCTGGCAACCCTATTGTCGCATTGATTTAACAAAATCAAGACCTTTTAAATTCGTTTTTGAATTCAGTGAACCCAGATATAGTAGAACAAGTCTTTAAACTGCGTAAGAGGTGGTACATTCATCGTGATCGAAAGGGAAGTCACCGTCAACTAATGAAAGACTACTTATGACGAGAATTGCACATATCCACTGGAGTATTTTCACAGACGATTCAAGATGCGACGAAAACTATTTCTTCGTATCATGAATAATGTTAAAGCTTATTACGACTACTTCGCCCCAAAAAGGGATGCAATAGGCTGTTTGGGATTGTCTTCTATACAAAAGATGACAATTACAATACGTATACTCGCATATGGTTATGTAGCCGATCATTGTGACGAGTATATTAAAATCGGTGAGAGCACTGCTATTTAAAGCCTGATGGCATTTTGTAAGGCTGTTATTGGTATGTATGAGGAAGAGTACACGTGTCCACCTACCAAAGCTAACATACCACGGTTGCTTCGAGAAAGGGAGGAGAGAGGATTCTTGTGTATGCTTGTATATATCAATTTTATGCACTGGGAGTGGAAGAATATCCCAGTGTCGTAGCATGGTACGCATAAGGGACACCCCCCTACGCCTACGCTCATATTGGAAGATGTAGCCACAAAAGATTTTTGGATTTAGCATGCATTCTTTGGAATGTTGGGTTCACACAATGATATTAATGTGTTGGATCATTCCCGGGTATTCGACAGTGTTTTCACTGCCCAATTGCCTTCGATTAATTTCGTGGTGAATGACCATCATCACCATAGAATGGTGTATTACTTGTCTGATGATATATACCTTGAGTCAGCAACTTTGAAACAGACCATCTCGCACCCAACTATTGGAAAAGAAGAACTTTTTCGTCAAAGAGACCTGGAAGGAAGATGTGGAACGAGTTTTTGGGATCTTACATATCAAGTGGGCAAAAACGCGAGGACTAGTGCATTTTTGGGAGAAAGGGGCCTTGTGCCTCATAATGAAAACGTGCATTATCCTTCACATTATGATTATTGAAGATGGGCATCATGCCAATGTTAGAAGATGCACTCCGCCACTATAAGAGACAATCTTGATTTCCATATTAATTCAAAACCCATCGGTCTTTGCGGCACATAACTACTTTCGCCAAGTCCAAATTCACAATAAAAAGACAAATTTGTGGTTGATAAATGATCTAATTGAAATTTTTTGAAACCGTTTTGGGGACAAAAACGTTAAATTTATATTACATTTATTTGTTTTTAATTTGTTATAAAATTTTATGTAATAAAATATTTATTATGTAATGTTTTATTTCGGAATAAATAATTAAACAGTTTGTTGATATAAATTGTTTAGTAAATTAATAATGAAATTGTTTGTTGATTAAATCAAAGTTTTCATTTCATGCATTTATTTATAGAGGTGAAAACAAAGGCAATTTTTTTATTAAAAAGAAAAAAAGAAATCATTTTTTTAAAATAAATTTAATTTTGTTAAGAAATAAATTTTTGAAATTTTTTTTTTTTTTGGGACAGTATAGTCTTCAGCCGTTAACGGCTATAATAGCATAATAAGTTAAAACAAAAAACAAAAATTTTATTTTATTTTTTTAGCTTTTTTTCTGCCCAAGAAAGCCTCAAGGCACTGTTTTAACGGCTCTTTAGTTCAGTTGTGTTGAGAAAGGAAAAAAAACCAAAAACAGCAAGAAAAATTTATTTCTGACAATTGTTTCACCCAAACACGCCCTTATAAGTTTATAACCAATTTCTCGGTCATCTATAGTGGTTGCAGTTGATCCATAAAGAAATAAATTACAAATTTACTTGGGAGTTGGGACATAACCCACGGCCAATACAAAAGTAGGCCAAAAAGCCCATTAGGCACAGCCCACCTCTAGTGCCAAAAAAAAAAAAAAAAAAAAAAAAAAAAGAAACACACACAAAAAAACATCAAAACATTCAAGCCCAAGCAAACAGCCCAACCCCCAAAATCAAACCAGTATGACTATCAACCCCTATAAGCCAAGGTGGGAACCCAAACCATCAACAGAAACAGGATAATTGTAATTTTTAAACCATTAAAATCTAATATTGCACCTAATGCTAAAAAGAACAAGAAATACAGAAACTTTAACACCCTCGAATATTGTAATAACCTGAAATGAGGATAAAAAATAGAGATTATATAAAATCAAGCTCATTGCAGACAATCCAGCCTTGATGGAGGAGAGGTTAATTTATATCAGAATTTGTCATAAATGAACCAAAGCTCAACTGTGGAAGATTGTATGGATGATAGCTTCTCCTCCTGCCAGGTGAACAAAGCTACTTTAATGCCATTTCTATTTTGGGCAAGTCCGTTAAATAGTTAATACTATTCCATTCTTACTGAATAACAAAATTTTATGCTTAAAGAAGAAATGACATCAGCAACTACAAGCTCCCATTTGCTCACTCCACATTACAATCAAACACTCAAATCCCACAAACTTTGGCGGGGAAATAGCATAGATGCTACGTTTCTTCACACCATGGAAGGAACATCACCCACAAAAACCTGCATCAGAAAATTTAAGAATCACATCAGCATTAGTATTTATATAAACTTAAATCTCTGCCACCTATTGAAATGAACTGAACTTGTAAACTACAACAGATTAAAATGCATTATATTTGCAATAGTACTCATTGTAAAATCAACTAATACACCATAGCCATAGAAATGAAGGTAGATAGTCTTGAGGGTCCATACATTTAGGAGTATTGTACATGAAAAGTAACTAGGACTGCCCAACTGCCTGATTGAAATGGCAGGGTAACAAGTTTGCTTTCAAAATTTTGGTAACACTAATCAATCAATCCATTAATATGTGCTAAACTGTATGATTATTGGACTCGAAACTTCTTTCTTCTGAGGTTGGCATCTGCATTAAATCAAACCATTAGTACTGTAACACATGCATGACATGTTGTACATGAAAAATAACTAGGACTACCCAACTGCCTGATTGATAACCTAGCTTTTCAAAACAATTGCGAGCATGAGAATAAAAGTGGACACCCTATTCCTAGTATGGTGCGCCATACTAGGAATAGGACTTGATTTTATTCCCAATCAATGGATTCCCTTTGCCTCGGTAAACAGTTCTTGCTTTACTTGTTTTCTCCTTGTATAAACTACCGCCCTGTTAGATAAATGTTGATGTGAAATATGTTGAGCTGACATGATGAACATAGAATTCATTTAAGGACAATTTGGACCAAGTGTTGCATACTTTTATTTTCTTTGTAGTGTGCCAATTATTTAGCTTTACTTGCCACAGGTGTTAGTTGAATCTGATTGCACGGCAAAGAAAGAATGGCAGAATACCAAATAAAAGTGGAATCTCTGATGCAAAGCAAGTGTGTGAAGATCTCACCTTGTATTCTGAAGCAAAATAGGCCATCATTAAGCTTTGTTTTGATTCTAACGAGAAGCTTCGAAAGTGGGAGGAAGAAAATAGAGAACTGGTCTATGCTTTGGATGATGTATTAGATGATGGTGTTGTTGGACAAGTTATGATTAAAGGATGGGAGCCTCTTAAATTAATTATTTTTTGTTGAACTCTGTGAATTTTTGACACATTTGGATGTATATTTACTCTGAATGTTATGAAGCTTATGTCGGTTATGTGTCTAGTGATAATTTTGAAGTTTGTAAAATAGAGAGAGAGTGTTGGTTTTTTTACACACAAAAATAAAAAAAATAATAAGAATAATAACTTGCAATTCTATGTTGCCAACGAAAGTGAAATTATAGTCGGTTTTAATTTACTGCGGGTATTTTACCAGCGGTTTCAGAAAAGTGCCGGGAAAGCTCTTGGCGGAGGCATTCTCAGTACTTTTTTCTCGTCGGCAATGCCTTTTCCAGTGTTTTTCTGTGATTTTCCGGTAGGTGAAATCTACAAATATTATGGTGATTATTTTTTTAGTGGTGTTGGAAGTGTTTTACATCATATCCGAATGGGAAGCAAAATAAGAGAGTAAAAGATGTGATGGGGATAATGTTTTCCATGAAATTTGGTTGGGAATTGTTTGATACTTTTCTCAGTAATAAGAAGGAGGACGAAACAAATAATACACAATCATGGACGATTGTCCACCTGCGCCGGACGATTGCTTAAGGGTGAAAGGGGGTTGAGAGGGGGGTAACAGAAATTATATTTAGTTTAAAACTTGATTGGAAATATTTATGTAAAGAAGGACTTGTTTGTCCTATAAATTTTTTTTAGGACTTCTTTGTCTTTAGGGTAAAAAAGTAGGACTAAGGTGAAATTTTTCCAAAAAAATCTCCCTTTGACTGTGTCTGTAGTACTAATTAGTCCGTTGGAAAAAGTAGTACTAATTAGTCCGTTGGAAAAAATAGCTGGTAGAGTAGTGATTTAATTTGATTTCCACCACCCGTCTGATAACTGCATTTACGATCTGTGAACCATCAATACTACTATTACTATCAAACTCTCTTCTATTTGTTCACATCCCTCTTCCATCAGTTGACGAACTCTCTCTCTCTCTCTCACTCACTCATCTCCTCCATTTTTTGACTCCTCACATTTTTTTCATTTCAATTCGTTGGTTTGCTTTCCTCACCCTAACTCTAAAACCCTAACCCTAACCCTAACCCTAACCCTAAAGATCTTCTGCGCTTTAGAGTCCATTTCAATAAGGTGGTTTGCTATAGGTTAAGACTTAGATTGACATGTCCCTTCAAGCATCAGGTAACTAACTCCTCTTATTTTTCTTATTACTATTAAATCTTCTGCGCTTCAGAGCTCTCATTTTTACCTTTTTTTTCCAAGATCACTCATTTCAGTTTAGCTTCTCCATTGCAAGAAGCAAACCTATTTTAGAAGCACAAAATTGAAAAACTTAGCCTTAGATATGTACAACCATTTTTACTCACATCATACCAAAAACAAAAAAGAAAAAAATAAAATATTTGAAATATGAATAAAACAATATATCAACAAAGATTTAATAGTAATAAGAAAAATAAGAGGAGTTAGTTACCTGATGCTTGAGGGGACATGTCAATCTAAGTCCTAACCTATAGCAAACCACCGTATTAAATGGACTCTAAAGCGCAGAAGATCTTTAGGGTTAGGGTTAGGGTTAGGGTTAGGGTTTTAGAGTTAGGGTGAGGAAAGCAAACCAACGAATTGAAATGAAAAAAATGTGAGGAGTCAAGAAATGGAGGAGATGAGTGATAAGCGCCGAATATTGCATATTCAAACGCCCTTAATTGCATTATTTAAGTCCATTGTTTGTTTAATTATGTAGATTACCTTCATATGCACGTTTTTGCATATTTTCAGGTTTATTGGCCAAAAAGAAGCAAGAAGGATGCTTTATGGAGTTTTGAACATCAAAGGTCATAATGCTGAATTTCTGGCAGAAGTGGAACCTAGATTTTGCTCTCCATTTTGACCTTGAAAAATCGAGAACTGGACTTCCCTCATAACATGACATATTTAGAGCTCTGAATCAGCTTTCCAAATCTTCAATAGGTTCATCATTCGGAGTTTGAAGCAGAGAGTTATGATCTTCTTATCAGAGGTGCTCAGAACTGCCTGGCAGCAATGAATTTCTGTCTTTCTCTTCAATTTTGACCAACCATACTTGAGAATTGGATCTCCACCAAAACATAAAGTTTTTAGAGCTCTGAATTAACTTTCCAAATCTTCAAACAGTTCATCATTCGGAGTTTGGAGCGCAAAGTTATGGCCGTTTTACCAAAGTAGGTCCGGGCGAAGCAAGGCAAGCATGGAGCAATCTGCTCCATTTTCGAGTGCTCGAGGCCCTATTTCGAGCACTCGAAATTTGGGCAGAATGCCCTTCGGAATTCAGCCACGTGCACCTTATTTTTCTCATTTTTTTATCTCCCTCTTTATGGAGTGGTTGGGGATGTTTTTGGAGGAGAGAGAGAGCCTTGTTTGAAGGTAGATAAGGGGAGGAAAGCCACACAATCTCATATCTCACTTTAGGATCAGATTT